AAATGCAAACGAAAGTATTTAAATTAGCATATCCTCAGAAAAGACATAAATAAAGAAGGGGGTGTTCTCTAGAATTTCAAATAAAAAAACTTGTACTATGAGGACATCACCATAAAAATTCCAAATATATCATGAAGTCGAAGTCCAAGGTATCGAAGTCTAAATCAAAACTAAACTATTAACATTATATACAATATGTGACATTCTCCTAGCAATAAACTTCTTGACAAAGGAAAAATGACTCAATTTCTTGCAGGAAATATTATAATTGTAGGTGACCTTAATGCAAAACATCAATAGGCAATAGGCATCAAACAACATTAGGCTATTCAAGCCAAATAACTAGTGATATCAAATTTAAAGTAAATATATTATAATAAAGAGTTGGCCAGAAAAAGTATTCATAACTGTAAAAATATCACCAGTACTCAATGTTAACCATGAAAAAATCAAAATGCAAGAGCTAGATTATACATTAGAAAACATTGACCTAAACAAGACCCCGGAGCCAGATGGAATCCATGCACAAATGATATCGAATTTTGGCAAAAATAGCAAAGAAATACTTTTGATATTTCCAATAACTCCTGAAAAACTGAAACAATATTTGCTATTTGAAAAAAAAAAAAGGAACTTTACAAATCTGCTGATGATTAAAAGAGCTACTGGCCTATCTACCTCACAAGTATTTACTGCAAATTAATGGGGAAAAATATACCCAGATGATTCCCCTACCACCTCAAACACAATTATTACTAGAATATTTATAGTATTTTTGAAGTTTTTTCATCTATAAAGTCCATTTATAACAGATGCCCTCCACTTCTCTGGCTATATTTCTACATAATATTTTTGCTCCTTATAAAAGAGACTAGCATGTTCAAACGAAATATATTCTAAAGATGCCGTAGTTTGGTGATTCCTGGATTTCTCCAATCTTGCTAGATGACTTTCATATCTCAGAAGTTGTTTGATAATCACCTTAAGTGAGCTCTTCCTGGGATGTTGGCCTGGACCTTCTACTTGTCCCTTCCATTGGATGTCATATCTGCATCACAGACCACTCATATAAGCAATTACTCTTCAAATTTAACTAATCCACAAAAAAACTCTGGGAAAGTTAAAACGAAATTTCTATATATCACACAAGTAATAGACTTTATATACAGAAGGCTAGAAATATTTTTGATCTTGAAAAATCACACATTATAACTGTTTTATGACCCTAAATGACTTATTTTATAATTGTTTTAAGAACGAGAAATGTGTCCGAGGCACATGTATCTATAATTCTTTCTGCCTCCTTAAAGTATATGCTCATAGTTTCCGTAAATACATGAACCAGAAATTCATTTAATCTTCCAGGTATATAAGTAGAATAGTAAAAAAACAAAAATATAGCGATCTTATAACATGTAATAAATCCTTGGGAAGGTTTTATAGTGATGAGCCAGGCTCTTCCATTATTTTACTTCGCAGTAGGAAGATGTTTACTTGGAAAATATTTACGTTAAAAATTATTTATCTTATTAACAGATGACACGTTAAAGTCCTGTATATTTAAGAAATGTTCGAGTATAGATCTAAAGATTCCGTACTATTTTGAGCAATTACAAAGTGGCCAAGTGGTGTACATCTGAATTCAATTCTACTTTAGTAGGTAGGGATGCAAAAAGATTCAAGACTCGAGTAAATTTGATAGAGCTATCCTACTGTTCATACATGAAAAAAAGACTTTAAAACAAGTTCAAATATTAAGACTCGATTTGAACAACCCATTAGGAAGAAACCATTCTAATGAACCAAAGGCTCTAAGACTGATTATGTATCATCAAAGGCAATGTACTAAGGACCAAGATGCTGGGCCAGAGGGAAAATATTAATTGGATTCTACCACGGGCTAAGATATTAGACCATATAAATAAAAAATATCCACAAAATAAAAATCGAGGATACAAAATATCGTTGGTGCGCAGCGGGAGTCTTTTATTTACATACTTTTGTTTTTTCGATTATTTAAGACAATAATCTTTTAGTTAGAAAGTGCTTTTCCTCCAAACCTTTTGTTTGTGAATAAACGTTAAAAAGACTTCGCGGATGTTTTCTCCCAGTACATCAGGCCACCAGAGCAACAATATATAGCACTGAACTCAGCACCAAAAACAAGGCCAAGATCTCGAAACTGAATGGAAGATCAAATGGTTCGGGGCGAAAATACTGGCCGATTTCAGTAATGCAAATTTTAAATTTGGATTATTGCTTAATATTTTAATTTTTTCAAGTCATTTATCAATATGAAACGCGTCTTTTCGTACTTTCATCAAATATACTAATATTTATATTTCCAGTTAATTTAGCGCGTTATCAAACTGTGTTAAAATGCTTTCAAAACAGGAAATCTGCATAATTTTACTTCATGAGGTGAAACTCGACCGCGGGTCTGCGGAAACAACTCGAAATTTCATCAGCGAGTGGGGCAAGCAAGGATGCAATTTTAGAATGCAATACGCGAAGATTGTTTAAATAATTCACAACGGCGATATCAGCCTTGGAGATCAAGAAGGCCGTGAACGTTCATTTGTGGTTGACGACGACCATTTAAAGCCAATAAACGAGGCGGGCAGAAAATAAACTACACGAGAAGTAGCTGAAGAGCTCAACGTTGACTACTGTAAAGTTTTCCATTTGAAACAAAAAGGAAAGGTAAAAAACTCGACAAATGGATATTATACGAATTACGAGTAAAAATCAGAAAATTCGCCCTTTTGAATTGTCTTCGGCACTACTTTTATGAAACAAGAAAGAGAATTTTCTCGACCGTATTGGCACCTGAGACGGAAAATGGATCCTCTATGACAACCGGCGACGTATAGGCGAAATGGTTGCACCGTATTGCAGCTCCGAAACACTTCCCAAAGCCCAAATTTCCCCAAAAAATATTATGGTGACTGTTTGGGTGTCTATATAGAGCAGGTTTTATTTATCACAGCTTCCTGAATACTGTGAAACAGTTACCGAGGTGAAGTATTTTCAGAAAATTGACAAAATGCACAAAACCTCCACATCATCTGTTTCGCATTGGTCAACAGAAAGGGGCCTATCTTTCTCCACGACAACGCCAGAACCCACGTTTCATCGATCACGCGACAAAAGCTGAATGAGCTGGGCTATAGAACTCTTGATCACCCTCCATACTCACCAAACCTCTCACCTACCGACTTCACTTTTCAGGCACCTCACCAATTCCCAGGGAGGGAAATGTTTTAGAAACCAAGGCGATGCCGAAACTGTCTTTAATAATATCAATACCTCTATAACTCTAAAATTTTAACAAATGGGATAAACCAACTAGTATTCCTTTGGAAATAGATACATAGACTCCAAAGGTTTTTATTTTTTAAATAAAGTCTTGTTTAAAGCGAGTTATTGCATTTTAAAGTTACTTACAAAAGAAACAGGAATTATTTTCGCACCAACTTAATACCAAGGCCAATATACTGAGTTGAGGTATTAATGAATAAAAGGTCACTAGAGATACAATTAAAGATTTTATATGACTAATATATTTATTATATTCCGCAAGACCATGCAAAAGTACAGTACAGCTCTACACACCAGGACCAGAAGAGTGGACCAATGGCTTCAAGACGAGTTAGGACAAATGAGGAACTATGTGAGAGTTTAGTCAAAGGATTACATCTACTTATATATTTGCCTTATTCTGTCTGAAGCTCACGGATAGAATGCGCTCCCATTGGCTGCCGGCGAACACGTGTCCTCCCTGCCCCCCTCTAGACAACCCTGTTATCAGCTGTGTGATACATACACCTGTCTATAGCGGCCACCCTGTCTATAGCGGTCACTTTAGGCAACCCTGTTATCAGCAGTGTGATACATACACCTGTCTATACAGACCACCCTGTCTATAGCGGCCACTCTAGACAACCCTGTTATCAGCTGTGTGATACATACACCTGTCTAAACAGACCACCCTGTCAATAGCGACCACTCTAGACAACCCTGTTATCAGCTGTGTGATACATCCACCTGTCTATACAGACCACCCTGTATATAGCGGCCACTCTAGACAACCCTGTTATCAGCTGTGTGATACATCCACCTGTCTATACAGACCACCCTGTATATAGCGGCCATTCTAGATAACCCTGTTATCAGCTGTGTGATACATACACCTGTCTATAGCGGCCACTCTAGACAAGCCTGTTATCAGCTGTGTGATACATCCCCCTGTCTATACAGACCACCCTGTCTAAAGCGGTCACTTTAGGCAACCCTGTTATCAGCAGTGTGATACATACACCTGTCTATACAGACCACCCTGTCTACAGCGGCCACTCTAGACAACCCTGTTATCAGCTGTGTGATACATACACCTGTCTATACAGACCACCCTGTCTATAGCGACCACTCTAGACAACCCTGTTATCAGCTGTGTGATACATCCACCTGTCTATACAGACCACCCTGTATATAGCGGCCATTCTAGATAACCCTGTTATCAGGTGTGTGATACATACACCTGTCTATAGCGGCCACTCTAGACAACCCTGTTATCAGCTGTGTGATACATCCACCTGTCTATACAGACCACCCTGTCTATAGCGGCCACTCTAGGCAACCCTGTTATCAGCTGTGTGTAACATCCACCTGTCTATACAGACCACCCTGTCTATAGCGGCCACTCTAGGCAACCCTAGGAAGCAAGATGTATACAAGGTGTAGACAAGATGAAGATCTAGATGAAGAATAAAACGTTTTTAAAATATATTCGCACTCGGGTAAAACCCGGGCGTTGCCCGGGCCATTCGTCTAGTAACACATATTTGTTTATAAAACACTTAAAGTTGCACCGCATAAGTTTCTTTTCTGTGAAAAATCAATATTTATTTCAAAGAGAAATATTTACTATTTCTAACTTTTTTGGATGAAGTATGAAAGGGTAAAAATATGAAGAGTAATGGCGAACGGAAAAATAAAAGTGTCCAGGGGCGGGAATCGAACCCACAACCTTCCGCTTACCGGGCAGATGCCATGTCCACTATGTCGACGTATTCTTCCGTTCGTAAATAATACTTAAAGTAACTTATAATACATTATAAAGGACTGCGGCGTATGATTATAAAACACTTAAAGTTGAACCGCATAAGTTTCTTTTCTGTGAACATTAGTGGACATGGCATCTGCCCGGTAAGCGGAAGGTTGTGGGTTCGATTCCCGCCCCTGGACACTTTTATTTTTCCGTTCGCCATTACTCTTCATATTTTCACCCTTTCATACTTCATCCAAAAAAGTTAGAAATAGTAAATATTTCTCTTTGAAATAAATATTGATTTTTCACAGAAAAGAAACTTATGCGGTGCAACTTTAAGTGTTTTATAATCATACGCCGCAGTCCTTTATAACATATTTGTTTGTGAATACAAAAATCAAAGACCACAAGAATAGAGAGAGACCAAAGGTTATTAGAGTGTAAAATAATGATTCAGCTATATTGTCCAGGGTTGAAATCAGGACCACTGCACTTACCAAGGACAATAGTGATTCACAAAGTCTTATAAGACTGTACTTGTGGCATATATCATTATATTAGACCAATAGGTGAAGTACTAGATTTATGATTGACCTCTAGTTGACCGTGTAATCGGACTACAGAGTTGCGGCCATTTCAAGGTAAACAAGTAAATAAATGATCCTATTCAACTATACACCGCACTCACAAAACCAAAATTAACTTGTAAAATACGTTATCCTTTCCTACATTTACAATATACAGTTGTTTCACACAATATTCTTAAAGATAAATTATTCAGAGAAGGAGAAATAGGAATATGAGTATCTAAACTTTCAGCCTTCAGGCCAGAACTAGAATGACCTATTCACCATTAATATCGTTGCAATGTTTTGATCATTCCATAAATTAGTAAATATTTCATCATTTTATTTACCCTAAAATGAAACAACTTCTTTAATGACTTTAGACTAGTCTATACAACCAATTTGATATATTTAGGCGTCTATTTATATTTAAAAATCTAGACAATAAACGATCTCAGACACTAAGTTCTACAGCATTTCACAGATATTCGTAGAATTCTGGTTGATAGAATGTCTTCCCACGTATTGCTTGGGATAAGACTTGACATTTTATAATAAAAATTCGAATATTAAATACATAGTACAAAATATATTTCAATCACATAAGTTATGCAATTACATGGATATATATCAAATTATGCTGCAATGTATAAGAAGAAATATATAAAGAATAAGAAAAAATTGTATATATATTAAATTTTGCTTTTTGTTTATTTTATTTTCTCAGCTATACAGGATAACACTCGAGCTCAAATATCACATGGCTGTTAAACATATTTGTATGTTAAAGAATGGCCTTCAAACTGACTGGAAGGCAGGTTCAGGGAAGTCCTGGGCTTTTATGTCCTGAGCTGAATTTACATCAAGATAGAGTAATTCAAGGAGAACTGGGTTTTGAGATTTTGAAAGATTAGAAAATGAAGTCCACTTCCTGACAATGCTCGATAAATGTAATTGTGTGTATTCATATTGAAACAACTCTCTCGATATTGTGTTATTTATTTTTATAATATTCAAATAAAAAACAATTATGTATTTGAAACGTCTTTTTGCTTGGCATATTTGGCGTACTGGGGATTTTTATAATATGAAAGAAACTTGATGGTAACTATACAAAACGTCGATTTATAACAGATGCCTTTCACCTGTCTGGTTATATTTCAACATATCAAGTTTGCTGCTAAGAAAAGAAAAGTGTCCGCTTCATACAGGAAAAATATTGCAAAGATATCATATCCTTGCTTTTTCTGTGCTTCTCAATTCTTACGAAGTGGCTTCCATATCTCTGAGGCTGTTTGATATTCACCTTAAATGAGCTCTTCCTGAGATATTGGCTGGGACTTCCTACTTGTCCCTTCCAATAGATGTCATCTCTGCATCACAGACCACCCACATAAGAAATTACATGACAAACCACACTCAAAGGTTAAACAAATATATAGGGATCCTTTATCATTATTATAATTTTATAAACTTTTCTGAAAAATGTATGACAGTTCGAATGGAAAAATTCCGTGTACCGCAAAAATAAGTTAACTTTATACAAAATATAGCGCACTTTTTGTGCTTAAACATATTTTATAATGAAGTTTCTTAGACAGAAACTTGTTGGAAACAAATTAAAAACGCCTATTTTTAACAACAGATACGTTTCGCCTGTCTGTTTATATATTACCATATCGAGTTTACTAAGACAGTGATTGGTTCCTATAGGGAAAATATTGAAAATATGCTGAAAATCGGTAATTTCTGGACTTCTCCAATTTAAGGTGAGGTGATTTTCAAATCTCAAAAGCTCTTCGATAATCACCTTAAATGAGCTCTTGCTGGGATGTTGCCAGGGACGTCTTATTTGCCCCTTTCAATGGATGACATCTCTGCATCACAGAACACCCACATGAGCAACTGCATGTCACACCACACTAAAATATTAAATATTTATATAGCTATCCTTAATCAATATATATTGTGATTTTATTTATTTATTTTTTTTGAAAAATGTGTTCAAATGGAAAATTTCTATGTACCACAAAAAGGTGAACTTGATACAAAGTACAGGGTGATCCAAAAGTCCCGCACTATTTTAAAAATTAATAACTCCGCGAATGTTTGCGCTAGAGCAATGCGGTAAACACCATTGTGTTCAGGATGCAATGGGATTTTTTATGGCAAATAATGAAAAATTCGAAATTGATTTTAGTTACAATTTTATTCGCCAGATGGCGCACTACCAGAATCAGAGATTCAGCGGCCAAATTGTTTGATAAATTGAAAAATATAACTGATCGACACGTATTTTTCCTTTTTGAATACCAGGAAAGAACCCTAATAACATCAAATAAAAAATTAATAAAACACCACTTCGCCAAAAGTATGAAGAATTGGTTAACAATTTTTAAATACAATCAGAGATATGTAAAATAGGTAAATGCAAATTAAAACATGTAGCAAAAAAAAAATTGATATTTTAGATACGGTTTGTGTTTCCGAAGATAATAATTTTCTAATATTTTTTAAATTCAACTCTCTCTCAGTATCGATTATATTTATTTTAATTCATTTGAAAAATATGTATCTATCTCTGATAATTTATTTTACTCTGGAATGCCGTTGTTTTTGTCGTGTCCAATAAAGAGCCTCAGATGTATCCATGCATCTCCATCACAGCAGCAGCAATGTCCACAATCTTGGGTGTGTAAAGCTACTGCTCTGGGTCTATGTCAAATTCCTGCAAGGCTGCGGCCATTGCTGGCTATGAGAATATGTGGGTAGGTGTAAGTTCCACACCAGGACAATTGTTGCATGCCCTATAGGGTATTGTGCCATCTGGATGTATTGTCATTCCTTTATAGTGTTTTGTTCCAAGTCTTGTTATAGTTTTTGTCATTTTTCTCTCAGAGTTTATTTCGCATTTTGATCTTTTCTTATTTATTGTTTAATTATCTTGTATTTTGACAAAGATTCAGCGTCAAATAATGACATTTGTTCTTTCCTTTGGCTCAACTTTCTGGCTTCCTTTGCCAATTCAGATGCCATTTCATTACCCCCGATCCCAGCATGGGCAGGGATCCATTGTAGAATGCAGTTATTCTCCAATGGTTCCAGTTGGGTAAGTAACGAGTGTATTTTCCGTGTGATTTTAGTATTGCCCTTCTGAATTGCTTCTAGAGCGGATATGGAGTCGCTGTATATTAAATTTCCTTCTGCTTGATGCAGGGATGGTTGGTTAAGGCATACATCAAGGGCTTTCCAGATAGCCGTCAGTTCACAAGTGAAGTTTGACGAAATCTGTCCTGCTCCTTCTTTGATTTTGATGTGCGTTCCATCTTGCACCATTATGTTAATTCCGGCCCCTCCATAATTCAGGGTAAGGTCTGAAGATCCATCTGTATATGCTGTTAAAGGGGGTGGCCTAGCATTTTTAATCAAGAATTTGTACTATGAGGACATAGCCGTTAATATTCCAAACACATCAGACCTCGAAGCCCAAGGTATCAAAGTCTACCTCAATCAAAACAAAGCCATCAACATATACAATATGTATCACCCTCCAAACAATAAACTTATTGACAATGGAACAATGGCTCAATTTCTTACAGACAACTCTTATTGTAGGTGACCTTAATGCCAAACATCAACTATGGGGATGTTCCACGCCAAACCTCTGAGGCAAAATACTTTCAAACATATTTGACGACAATGCCATGATGTGCTTAAATGATGGGAATCCTATCCATCATTCATACAGCTATAATACTGCACAAGCCCTTGATATAAGTTTTTACTATCCTGACATTTTAAACAAATGCAAATAGCAAATATTAAAAAGTATTGTAAGTGATCATTTGCCTAATTTGATAGAAATTAGCACCAAGACCAAAACCAGCTCAATTAAGAAAAATTCTGGAACTTTAAAAAGGCTAATTGGATATCTTTCGAAAACACCATTATTAAAGCAGCCACAGTTTCAATACCAAGAGGTAATATTAAGAAATGGATTCCAAATTATACACACCAGGCAAAAAATATTCAAACACTTATAACTAAAAGAAATGAACTACAAAAAAGAGCACCCAAAACCAAACAAATTGTAGAACTGAACTGAACATTGTGAATGCAAAAATAAAAAGATTATACGTAAATGTGAAAAGGGAAAAATGGAAACAAACTTGTGAAAACCTGAACCCAAGAAACCCAAATACAAAACTTTGGAATTTGGCAAAACAAATTGACAGATCCCAGTTACAAACCGAAAAAATAATTTGATTAAGAATACAGATGGTACACCAGCAACTAATGACAAAATTGCTGCCAATCTTTTAGGTAATTCATATCAAATAAGTAGTAAAATCAAGTTTGAAACAAAGGCCCGAAGGATTATTCATGACTGTAAAAATGTCACCAGCACTCATAATATTTTCCATGAAAAAAATCAATATGAAAGAGCTAGCTT